TTTTTTTTTTTTTTTTTTTTTTTTTTTTGTCAAACAATGTTGCACAAATTAAAAAATTGCATAGAATGTATACGAAAATGTGCAGGACGTTCAAAAAAGTAAATACGCAACTAAATAGCAAACATACAAACACCATTGTGCAAGGGCTTTATTCTAGTTCACTCAGTTATAAAGCACGTGTTACGGAGGTTATATTACCGCCAAGTTGGCCCGTATACATCATGTAGATTTATATCTGAATGAATTTGAGATGCGGGGGGAGGGGGGGGAGGTATTTCGTACAAGAACACACATAAAACCCACAACAGCAATATCAGGGCGATATAAGGACCTGTTAGACTGTTAGTTTTGTTTGTTTTGTTTGTTTATTAAAGTGACCTGTGCTATAATGCAAGTAATACAGATACATTTTTTTTCTTTTTGCACCCAGCCCCAGTGGGCTTATAACTCACTATTTAATTTATATTATTTTAATATATTAATGATCAAGAAAAAAAAATAGAAACAATAAATAATGTATAAATAAACTTAATAAAATATATAACATTAATTACATACAAGTGTAAATAATAGAATATATATACCAACTAGGACGTTACTCATTATACATGAACTCTTTCCGTATCATATAGGCACGTTTTATATAATTACTAAATATTTTTATATGTTTCTCCATTAATTTTGCAAGTTTCTCTGGCAAATTTAAATTCAAAAAGTCTAAATCGGTTGCTGTTATTTTTGTCAACATTTCTTCTCTTATGTTATCGTAGGCCGCACATTCAAAAATATAATGCTTTTCATCCTCTATCTTTCCACGGTCACACATCACACACACTCTTTCTTCCACTTTTTCTCTCACAAACCTGCCCGTTTGTATTCTAATCGGAAGTATACCAAATCTTAATTGTGCTACCAATGATCTAGTCATTTTATCAAATTCGTGGGTTACATAGTTCTCAACCTTGTATTTATTTTTAAATAGTATGTAAGTTCTAAGTTTACTGTATGAGGGCAAATCTCTCTCCCATTTACTCGCCAATAGATCTCTCAAGCAATGTGCACATCTATCCACATCCACTAACTCCATACGTTCAGATTTATTTGTCATGTCTAATTTTTGTAATATACTACATATCTCACTAGACCAGTTATTTATGCACTTATTATAATCTATGATAAAGACCCTTTTCGTTAGCCTTGCTGAATCCATTAAAACCAATCTATTCCAGTATCTGAGCATATTCAGCCACCTGCTTGTTTGTATAGGAATGCAACCCGTATCTCCTCGAAACCCAAATATGGGAGCAAACTTATGAACACCTAGAAAATACCGTATGGCTCTGTTTAGTATACTTTCACTGCTTTTAAATAACTTAAAACCCCAAACGCTAGACGAATAATTTAACACTGGAAGCACACAAGTGTTGAAGAGTTCCATGTATGATTTAAACTTGATGTTTCTGAGACTTTTAACTTTACTGATAACAGATCCAAGCGCTCTACCCCCCGACTCAGACAACAATTTATCTCCGGACTCATAGGTTACATGACTATCAAATAAAAAGCCTAAATATTTATACTCATAAACATAATCAATTATTCTATTATTTATATTTATTGGTATGTCACACAGTGGGGAACCTTTACTTCTAAAGTGCATAACTTTTGATTTCTTACTATTAATTTGCAGTCTCCATTTCATGCAGTAATCATGTAAGGTATTCATAATGATGTTCATTTCCTCTGGCGTTTCACTGAAAATAGCAATGTCGTCTGCGTACAACAATATATCTAGTCTAATGTCACCTACCATTACCCCTTTTCCAAGTGCTTTTATATCCTGAGCTAGATCATTTATGAACAGTGCAAATAAGGTAGGTGATAGGTTATCACCTTGCCTAACACCAGCCATCGTTTCAAACAAGTTTGTATTGTTTCCATTGAGATTTACACATGACTCTGTTAGAGCGTACATAGATTTCAGCACAGCATACATAGGCCCGTTAGACAAAACTTGGATGTCGACACAAATGGTCTGTTGCGTAATCAACTAAACCGCCAATTTTGTCCCTTATGTCAACAAAACATGCCTTATGTACCGTATAGATACCATATATATATGAACAGTGTACTAACCTTGTTTAAATCAACTGAAGGCAGTCGTCTAAATATCGCTAGTCTGTTTTTAAGGACATCAACCCAGCGTTTTTCAATCTCCTGTCTTCCTGTCATGCTTATAGTTTTGTCTTCACGAAAGCACCTTAATAATAAGGTAAATCCGTCGTACCACCAACGACCGGTGTTGGTATCCGACAACAGCAACTTACGGTCTTCTTTAGAGAAATGACTGAGTATACTCTCCTCTGTCAGAGAAATCGGCTGTAACTCGGACATTATGCGGAATTGTTAGCATGAAAGGTAAAATACCTACTTCTGTATCTCAAATACTTGTGCAAGCCTTATATTTTGGATTTTAGTCCAAAACGTATCCTTAAACTGAGTCATTGTGTCTGAAGTAATGAATGTGAAACATAGAAACCCATTTAAGTCACCATGCACGGCAATCGCATCACGTACTGTCTGTCATTGACAATTAATATTCAGGAAATGCTGGCGTATACATGATTAAGGTTTGTCAAGGTATTTCCAATGTTTTTGTTTCGAAGCTTAAACTGAGAAATCTAACAAGCAATATTGTCTGGGTGGAAAGATGGTGTAGGGATTCAAAACACAATCCCATTGGGTCAGACGAATGGGGTTTATACGATTCCGTATCTTTACAGCAATCGGTTTTATAATTTAAAGATAACATTGTCTTCAGCCAAAAAGTGCACACCACTTTAGTAAGCCCTAAAAAAATCCAACTATACGCTGGATAATAAAGGCTAACTGATAATAAGTCAACATGGGATTTTGAACTCCTCCACATATTCTTTATAGTGCTCCAAAACTTCCTCTTCTGTCAGGTGATAACGCTTCAGGTCATACTTGTGGCGGCCATAATTGTTTTGTGGATTTTCCTTGACATACGCCTCCATGTTGTCTTTCCCTTGGTCAGTCAGTTCCAGGTCAAAGTGATCGTATATTTTCTTCACAGCATCCATGGGTGATATAACGAGGTCGTCAAACGCAATGTCGATGAATCTGTGCTCCAGGTCTGGGTGGTTCCTCCGAAAATTCATCATCTCCATTCCACCATGAAAAAATGACCAGTTTAATACCTCCCTGCCAAGTTGTTTTAAGTCGATGCCATGATCCTTATAGAGAAGAAGTTTCAATGCTTCGAAGACGGAACACAGGGAAGCTACGGATGCGCTTGGATTGCGGTAGGTGTGAATGAAGATTGCTTCAGGATACACCTTAAGTAGGGCATCCAAATACAGACTGTGGAAATTATCTTTAAAAACCATTGGCCGATCACTGTTCACGGCTCCTAAAAACAAATCGACAACCTATCTAAATCCCGCAACAAAAATTGAGAAATGGGTATTAATGTTTCAAGAATAATGCCGTATTCTCGTAATTATTATGCAAACTATTCTAGTTTGAAATTTTCCCTAAATTTTACGTTCACGTCTACATATCCTGCAATCTTATTTTCCTTTTTAATTCAAGCTTTCAAAATGAAAAACCACCGAAATAAAAGTACCAATTTCGATTTTTTTCTGTAATTTCAGACAAAATATGGCAGATCTAGACAAATGAATCATGGTTCGTTAATAGCCTACTTATTTAATAAAAAATGGTAGAATACTTCTATCGAAAGTGTAGGGAATGGTCTAATAATGATTTGTATTTTTTACCGAGGACAATCAAGAATTGGCGCGAAAATCAAGTCTACGGTTCCTTAAGGGTTTGAGATGGAAATGGAATGAGAATTAGAGATGTGATTTATATACTTAAACGTATTTCGTCTCTTTACGTTTAGGGAATCAATTATTTGTGAGGTAAAACCAATATTGAAGACTCACCTCTGCTGTGAAGTAT